TTCAGTGTCAAAACCTTTTGGAATCCGCTAGTAGATTTGGGGTCTAGTATCAATATTATGCTTATAAGAATATACAATGAGTTAGTCCTTGGACCACTCATGCGTACTAAAATGCGGATTGAGTTGGCCGATAGGTCCGTTGTCGAGCCAAGAGGAATCATAGGAAATGTCTTGGTGAAATGTGCACATTTTATCTATCCTATGGACTTCATGGTTCTAGACACAGAAGGATGTGATGCATCGATATTGTAGATTGACCATTCTTAGCTACGCCAAGGACCATTATCGATGTGATTGGGAGCAAGATCACCTTAAGGTTTGGAGAGGAGGAGATAAGCTACAAGATGACTCCAATCCCCAATCTTTACAAGTATTACAAATGGGACGACATTAATATGGATTGTGAGCCGTTGACACCTCCTACCACACCGCCTTCAAGCCTCGAGATAGAATGGTTAAATATAGTCTCTCATGTTGACCCTCATGATAGAAGAGTTGAAGGGGTGAGTGATTCTTGAGAAGTTAAGAAGAGTCCGGGTAAAGAAAAGTTTCCTTACAAAAGGGCTACTCAAGAGTTTTTCAAAGTTTCTCATCAAGCCGATGATCATGGAAGGAAACTTAGAAGATTCATCTTTGAAGAACAATACCCCAAGGAAAGAATTCAAAATGTTAAGAGAAAACTAGCTCCTATATTCGAAGATGAAGAATCTGGGGAATGCTATAAGCCATTCACGGATAAGGACATTTATACAAGTGAGTAGAATTTTTTAAATCATGAGCACCAATCTCCAGATATGTCTTTTGAAGCTCAAGCACCGGATGAGGCATCCGAGTGACTCCATGGTCTTCACTTGGGTCTCCACCACAAGTATGATTTATATGAAGAATCATCGGTGTATAGTGGAGCTCTTACCTCTAGATCTCAAGGAGTCAAGTTCGACGAAAAGACTTTAAAAGACGCACTAGTTGGGAGGCAACCCAACAACTCGGTTTGCGTATCTTTTTCTTTTTCCTTTTGAATAATTGCTTAAGTAGAGGATTATAATTTCGTAGATGAAGATTGATAGGACTTTACCTTTGCCTCGCATTGTCTTTGGATGTTTGATTGATTTAGATGAATGATTAAGCTTAAGAAGTGGATGAAAACTTGATGTTTGTGTCCAGGGCAAAGATTGTTGTTGTCACGCCAGAGATAACGGTCGTGATCTCGTAGCAACAGGCCACAATCTTGTCCCTTTTTATTTAAAGGGAAAGTTGCACATTGAATCCATGTGTAGTCTCTCCATCTCATCTTTTACTTCTAAATGCCATGTTTCTCCACCTCTCTTAGGTTTGTGAGCATACCTTCTCTACTTCACTTTCCAACATCTATTGAGAATTATTTTGATTATCTTTGAATTTCCAACATGTCTTCTAGCAAGATAAGGTACACTTTTTCATTTCTACATATTTTAATTACCTTGTTTTGCTAACCATGTGTTGAATGCTTTGAGGACTTGAAATGCTCATCTTCATCTTTTCATGACCTTTTGATGCCCGATGATTTTTTTCTTTACTTTAATATTCATGCTATGCATTTTGGGAGACCTTGATGGGATATTTCAATGCATTTCTTGAGTTTTCATAGATCACACCAAGTGTGCGAAGAAAGTCCCCAACTACATAGTTCCCATTTTCTCTTGTGTACTTGATTGTGCATTATTTGGGAGACCCTAGCATATTTTCTTGTCATTTAACTCCATCTTCATCTAAGTACTCTCTTTTGTGCATGCCTTAGTCTCACTCAAGTGTGGGGGAAAACTTAGAGTATTGATGAGGGTTCTTTGAATATTCCTTTTTATGGTATGTGATGTTTGGATTGATGGTTTGTGCATTTTGTACTACTTGTTTTGAAGGATAATTTACAAGACTAAGGAAATGGCACGTGGAGAGAGTTCTTCTAATATGGAGCATTCTCTAACCTCTCATCCTCGCCGTGGACATCGGAAGAAGAAAAGTAAATACGGGTCAAAGGAAGTAGTTGTTGAAGAATTATATCCATCATCACTCTCTCCCCATCCACAAAGGGAAATCCATCAAGATAATGAAGCTAATGTTGGAGGCGGCATAGAGCACATCACTCACTATCATTTGGACAATGTCCCCGATCAATTTAAGACCAAACTTCTGTGGCTTCAAGTACTTCCTCTAGGCGAGAGTACATATCTAAATTGGATACTCTTCACACAGCTTGGGATCGAGGATGCGATCCGATCCAAGGTTTAGAAGTTGGAGTGGCTTAAATTGTTATCCATTCAAGAAAATGCAATTTGATTGCCATGTGATTGCTAGGTATGTGGGTGGAAAGAATTCAAAGCAAATGCAATTTGACTGCCCGATTCACTTTCTTCCAAAGAATGCACTTACCTTATTTTCTTTACCTCGGTTTGGCCATCTTGTCCATCTTCAAGCGTTATGAAAAAAATCATCGAATCACTGCCCTTCATGGAGGAGTTTTTATCACACGTCTTGCTAAGTGTTTCCAAGTCGACTTCGAGGCCTTGTAATTTCGGTTAGATTGTAGGACTGCTCCTATATCCTTTGATGTCTTGAAGTCGAGAATCAAAGTGTTGCACATGAATGACGATGGAACTTGTGGAGTACGGGGACTTCCATTTCCAACTACCACCACGTTGGACATGGAGGGTACCATGTTCCGCCTTCCGGAAGCTACATCAGTAAGAGGACGAAGAGGACTAGTCAACGAAGAAGAACAAGTGGGAAGAATGTACGAGAGAGGAGGGGCACCTACATCCAATTCTCATCCAAGTCCCCCACCATTCAACAATGCTAGGTATTACTGATCCAATTCTCATCCAAGTCCCCCACCGTTCAACAATAGCGGCGATCCTTCACAATCAAAAGAGGGAGAAGGAAGCACGACTCCACACCATGGCGTGAATCCATGATATAATAAAGAAGATGGATATTCCGATTGAAGATGTATCACCCCAACTTGCTCGCTCCCCTTCCCTTGCACTATTTCAAGAAGAAGAAGAAGGACCCTCCGAGGAGGATTGAGTACTAGGCATCCAAGGCCTAAGTTCTATCTTTTCTTTTTCTTTTCTTTCCTTTTCTTTCTTTTACTTTAATACAATGTTTAATTATTGATTTACTTTTGTTTTACTTTTCATACTTTAAATATTATAGTACTAGTAGTAATCGTACTTATCAATTGAGTGGTCTCTTATCAACTAGAGAACGTGTCTAGTTGTGGCGATCATCGACGATATCGGTTGGCCTATTCCACAGGTTCAAGATTGTTTGGAATTTCATATACCTTCTAGCCCAGTTTGGATTTATTTGATCAATTTCCGCAAGTTATCTTTATTTTTTTTTGTTATCAAGAAAGGAGAAAAGCCTGAAAAATTTCGACGTGTGCAACTCTGGTGTTTTGGTCCAAGTTTGAGTGGATTCTCGAATTAGGGTCATATCAAGTGGTATCAGAACCTAGTTCAAACTCAGCTGCGATTTGAAGATTACTTGTTTAAACTGAGCGGCAAGAAAGACGTTCTTGAAGGTCAAGAATGGAGGAATTCAGAGGTCGGCATGGTGTCCCCCAAAAGAGTAAAAATTACTATAGGCGTCGAGATAGTTACGAAGAGGAGTATGGAGAACATCTGCAGCTTATGGATGACATAGAGATCCCCACTTTTCAAGGCTGAAATAATCCGGATGCATACTTAGATTGGGAAAAGAAGCTGGAGATCATATTTGATTGCTATGAGTATTCTGAGAAAGAGAAGGTTACATTTGTTGCTAGTAAATGATTCATCATGCTCTTCATTGGTGGGATCAGTTATGCACTAGGAGGAGAAGGAACAGGCAACGTCCCATAGAGATTTGGGAAGACACGAGGGAAATCATGAGAGATTGATTTTTTCCAGACTATTATCAAAGTGAGATGCATGGAGCTCTTCATTTTCTTTGACAAGGTTCTAATAGCGTGTATGATCATTTTAAGAAGATGAAGCACCTAATGGATCGAGCTGATTTTGATGACGATGAGGAGGAAACTATAGATCAATTTCTCAATGGTCTTAATCATGGGATAAGACATGTGGTGGAGATTCAACCTATTATTGATTTGAATGAGTTGGTACAAATGGCAATCCAAGTGGAGAAGTAGCAAAAGCGAGGTTATACACGATAGATTGCTTCTTCAACCAATTTGAGTTTTTCAAATACAACAAAGGCTTCATATCCACGACATGAAGATCCCAAGCCCATCCTCAAATCGAATCCATCACCTATATCTTCAAGGATAACGTGCAATGTCAAAAATCACTTCATATTCGTTCTAGTGATGTTATGTGATACAAGTGTCAAGAAAAAGGTCATATGCCTCCATCATACTCACTAGTGACAGCAGTGAATGTTACACACCATGGCGAGAGGGATCTATCATAAATGAAAAATATGATCGACACAAATCTCACATGGCTACCTAGCCGGCCAATCATTTATTCCAATTTCAAAAACATCAATGCATGGTAATTGCAATGAAGGAGTAACCAAGTCAAGACATCCATTCATTTAAGCACACATGAGAACTAAGCTTTTGCACAACCCTAATGCACTCTTAGTCATCATAATAGGATGCACTCAATTATATGCAACAATTTAAGATCAATGGCAAATAAGCACGAGATTCACAAACCTACCAGACATTTTGATCATGCATTGCTTGGAGCCCTCAATTTTTTTCAAATTTTGGCAAACTTCAATGCTCCAAGCATTCAATCACACACACAAGCATAATAATAAACTACCCCCCCCCCCCCCCACCCACCCACACACACCTAAGCTCGGCATTGCCCTCAATGGCGTAAAATAGGAGCTAAAACGATGTTACCGCATTACTTGGTGAATGAAAGTTGGAGAATTTCCTGGGATGGGATGTTTTAGCTTCGAACGGAAAATTTTCTTTTGGGGCATTACCTTACCACCGAGGTAAAGTTTGAGACGGTGTCCGTTTACTTTGAAGATTTCTTTCTCTGGGTGGGAAATCTCCACTACTCCGTATGGAAACACTCGGTTGACCGCGCAGGGCCTGACCGTTTTGATCTCAACTTTCTAAGGAAAAGTCGTAACCGAGAGTTGTACAAAAGCACCTGCTCCCCTGTTTGAAAGTATTTCCTCCCTTTGAGTCTTGCGTCATGCAGATGCTTCATCTTCTCCTTGTAAATCTTGGTGTTTACGTAGGCCTGAAGACACCACTCTTCGAGCTCTAGCACCTGCAACTTTCTCTCATTTCCACACAAAGTATGGTCAATATTCAGTAGTTTGGTGGCCCAGAAAGGCCTGTGCACTAGCTCTATAGGCAAATGACACGCTTTTTGTACACCAATTGGTAAGGCGAGACGCCTATTGGTATTTGTAAGTCGTGTGATATGCCCATAGAGCATCATCGAGTTTTGCAGACCAATCCTTGCGGGATTGGTCCAGGGTCTTTTCCAGAATCCTCTTTAGTTCCCTATTTAACAATTCAACCTGACCACTTCTTTGAGGGTGGTAGGTTATGGAAACCCAATGGGTGACACCATAGCGATCGAGGAGTTTGTCGAATTTCAATTGAAAATGGGTTCCTCGATCATTAATGATGACCATCGGGGTCCCGAAATGTGAAACAATTGCTTCAGGAATCCACAACTCGTCTTGCATCATTGGTAGGGAGGGTTGCGCCTCCACCCACCTTGAGATGTAGTCCATGGCTACTAGAATGTACTTATTTCCAAAAGACGAGGGAAAAGGGCCCAAGAAATCTATGCCCCATACATCGAAAATCTCACATATGATGGAAACTGTTTGGGGCATCTCATTTAGGTTAGAGACATTACCTGTTCTTTTGAAGCTATCACAATGCCGGACGAATGAATCAGCATCCCGGAACAGCGATGGCCAGTAGAATCCCGATTGAAGCACCTTTCTTGTGGTGCGGTTTCCACCGTGATGGTCTCCAGTTGGTCCCTCATGACATTGTCTAAGAATAGCCATCATTTCCCTTTCCGGTACACACCTTCGAATGATCCCATCAGCCCCAATCCGAAAAAGGTGAGGATCATCCCAAAAGTAGTATACGAGGTCGGAAAGAAATTTCCTTTTCATCATTTGTATTCATCCCCTTTCGGAGCTTCCGTCCGACCAAATAATTTGCGAATTCGACGAACAAATGGGTGGCACTCTCAGCCACGACAAGCACGAATAACCTCTCTTCACGGAAAATGTCATTAATCTCGCCTTGGAAAGTGCTCCCCCCAGGACCTTCAAGTCGGGAAAGGTGATCCACCGCAAGGTTCTCGACTCCTTTCTTGTGTAACACCCTGATATTTGGGTTTAGGTTCGACCAAATTGTTGGATCGACGATTACGTACAAAGGGTTGCAACCGCAGATTATGAATAATAATAATAACCATTATATTATTATTACTATTAGTGTAAAAAAAAAAGAATTCGGCAAAAAGGCCGAGCGGCCTCCATGGCCTCGAAAACTTTCCCCGACCCATCTCTCTGGGGAATAAATATTCCCCCTCCCCACAATTAAAAATCACCCCTCGCCAAATCCTTCCCCAGGAAACCCACCTCCCCCAATTATTCATCCCAGCCGCAAACCCCACTGTCGCCGTCTCGTTTCCCCAGTGCGGCGAGAAGAAGAAAAGAAAGAGAGCGTCGGCTCCGGACCTCGTTCCCCGTTCCCCGATCCCGATCCCATCCCTTTCGTGTGTAAGGATCACAAACCCCTTCGCGATTTCTAAACTCGATTCATCGATAGTCTAATCCGAAGCTCGTTTTTTATTAGCGGTGACGTTTGAGGTTTCGATCAACGAGTAGATCAACGTCCCGAGTCATCCAACCTAGGCCTAGGCACGTTCTAGAGGTAAAGGAACTCGATCACTTTGAGTTAGGTCGATTAATTTGGGGATTTTTCGTGAGTGTGCAATTCTGGGTTTTTAGCAACAGGCGTTACAGGCTTTTAGTGACAAATTTTGGGTGGTCACTAAAGCTGCTGGGAATTTCCAGAAATATATTTTTGGATGTTTTAATTGTTTCGAATCTCTATGGGTGTTTGTTCTTGGTTTTAGTAATTTTATAAATTGTGGGAGGTCTAGGGGATGTCTTTAATTTAATTTGGGGATTTTTGAAGATGTATTTATATTTGTAGAAATTGTTCCAATGTTCGTTTTAATTAAATAAAAATCTTGCCGAGGGATTTTTAGATGTTTGATAATTTTCCGTGGTATTTTTTCTCATGATTTTCATGGAAAAATTATTATACAAATTTTTAAGAAGGTTAGGTAGGTGAAAAATTCGTCCAAGACAAAAATAATTAGGAAAAATGGTCGGTTTTGAAGGGATTATCTCTAGAAATTTTTTAAAGGGGGGTTAGGGGACCTTTGGAGTGAGGTTTGAGGATAAGACTTTGAGGAGAGGGTGTTTGGGTAGATAGAAAGGGGTTTTAATTCGAGAAAAGTCGTCTTAGAATATGAATTTCTTATTAATAGGTTTTCTGGGATAATCCGGCTAGGTAGGGAAAGAAGGTGAGAGCGTTAGCCTCTGATTAAACGTGGTAGTCTCTCGTGATAAAGAGGTTCACACCGGTTAGTAGGAGCGAAAGAGCTGTGTCTAGCGGAGGCGGGAGGAAGACCGAGAACTCGGCATCGACGATCGCGACAAGCGGGGGTAGAGCGATGGAGAGGCCCCAACCCTATCCTCCTAGATGACCCGAGTTTTCGGGAGTTCAAAGTCGGCCGCTGAATTGTGGCCAGAGGAGGGACCTCGAAGAGAATGGCGGCGGAGCTCCAATGGTGAGGGTCGCCTAAGAGGAGGAGGCAACGGAGGAAAAACACCCGGGGCTTGAGCGTGAGAATGCAGACGTTGACGCGACTAAAGAGGTGAGTGTAAAGGGGGTAAAATCTCTGTCGTAGGTCTTTTAGTTTATGCTTTTCGTTCAAGCTATTCATTAGTTAATTTATGAGTTTGCGCGATATGTGTGTGAGGCACCCCACCTCATGTAAGGGTGGAGGCACGTGTTGTGCTATGTATGAATGTATGGATGTATGATTGTAATATTTGGTTGATGATAAGATGAACCCCCGGGCAGTTGGGTCACTACTGGACGGCGAGACGTAACGCAGTAGTTGACGGGCATGGACTGGACGACGAGACGTAACGCAGTGCCATTGCCGAGTTTGGGTATGCAACCGGACGGCGAGACGTAACGCGGTGGTCCCTTGTGTTGGTTCCTATGGATTAAGAGTATAAGTAAGGAAATTCTAACGATAAGATAGGAGTAGAGATCTCTTACAGACTGTTTGATAACAAAGTATAAAAGATGACAGGGAGCGCCGGCTCCGGACCCCGTTCCCCAATCCCGATCCCATCCCTTCCGTGTGTAAGAATCACAAACCCCTTCGCGATTTCTAAACTCGATTCATCGACAGTCTAATTCGAAGCTCGTTTTTTATTAGCGGAGACATTTGAGGGTTCGATCAACGAGGAGATCAAAGTCCCGGGTCATCCAACCTAGGCCTAGGCACGTTCTAGAGGTAAAGGAACTCGATCCCTTTGAGTTAGGTCGATTAATTTGGGGATTTTTCGTGAGGGTGCAATTTTGGGTTTTTAGCAACACGCGTTACAGGCTTTTAGTGACAAATTTTGGGTGGTCACTAAAGCTGCTGGGAATTTCCAGAAAGATATTTTTGGATGTTTTAATTGTTTCGAGTCTCTATAGGTGTTTTTTCCTGGGTTCAACAATTTTATAAATTGTGGGAGTTCTAGGAGATGGCTTTAATTTAATTTAGGGATTTTTGAAGATGTATTTGTATTTGTAGAAATTGTTCCAATTTTCGTTTTGATTAAATAAGAATCTTGCCGAGGGATTTTTAGAGGTTTGATAATTTTTCGTGGTTTTTGTTCTCATGATTGTCATGGAAAAATTATTATACTAATTTTTAAGAAGCTTCAAGTCAGGTAAAAAATTCGTCAAAGATAAAAATAATTAGGAAAAATGGTCGGTTTTGAAGGGATTATCTCTAGAATATTTTTGAAGGCGGGTTAGGGGACCATTGGAGTGAGGTTTGAGGATGAGACTTTGAGCAGAGGGTGTCTGGGTAGATATAAAGGGGTTTTAAATCGAAAAAAGTCGTCTTAGAATATGAATTTCTTATTAATAGGTTTTCCGGGATAATCCGGCTAAGGAGATAAAGAAGGTGAGAGCATTAACCGCCGATTAAACGTGGTAGTCTCTCGTGATGAAGAGGTTCTCGCTGGTTAGTAGGAGCGGAAGAGCCGTGTCTGGCGGAGGCGGGAGGAAGGCCGAGAACTCGGCAACGACGATCGCGACTGGCGGGGGTAGATAGTGAGAAGGCAGACGTTGACGCGACTAAAGAGGTGAGTGTAGAGGGGGTAAAATCTCTGTCGTAGGTCTTTTAGTTTATGCTTTTCGTTCAAGTTATTCATTAGTTAATTTATGAGTTTGCGCAATATGTGTGTGAGGCACCCCATCGCATGTAAGGGTGGAGGCACGCGTTGTGCTATGTCTGAATGTATGGATGTATGATTGTAATAGTTGGTTGATGGTAAGATGAACCCCTGGGTGGTTGGGTCACTACTGGACGGCGAGACGTAACGTAGTAGTTGACGGGCATGGACTGGACGACGAGACGTAACGCAGGGCAATTGCTGAGTTTGGGTATGCAACCGGACGACGAGACGTAACGCGGGTTGCATACTAGGGTAGGGACACCGGAGAGCGAGACGTAACGCGGTGGTCCCTTGTGTTGGTGTCTATGGATTAAGAGTATAAGTAAGGAAATTCTAAGGATAAGATAGGAGTTGAGATCTCTTATAGACTATTTGATAACAAAGCATAAAAGATGAAAGCGAGAATGGTTTGTGGTTTGAGTTATGGTTTGGTTTTCATAAAGGATCGGGTCGTTTAATCTTGTCTTTGAACTTCACATCGAATTCTTTGATGTAACACTCTACCCTGTACACAGTGGCGGACCCAGGAATTACATTAAGGGTATTCAACGAATAAATAGATCACCAAGCATAATAGTCTTGAGTTCAAATACTACCATCGCTAAAATATAATTTTACAAAGGAATTCTGTCAAAAAAAAAAAAATGGAAACAAGGTTTGTCAATTGACAAGCCTTGGGCTAACCTAGGTCCGCCACTGCCTGTACATTTTGCCTAATCATATTTTTCATAGAATTGCAGCGGAACCTAAATTTGGTGTTACATTAATTCCCAAAATCAACCAATAAATCTCGACATGAATTACTCGCGTAATGGGCTAACAGTTCTTGCAACTAATCCTACAACATTATTTATCTGAATCCCTGCATTCGTATTCATATATATACACTCACAACCATCTACATTGTCTTTTCATAGCCATAGCCACAGTTTCATACTCCACAACTGCATATCATACTGATACAAGCCATAGTCGTTACAATATACACAATCACACAAGTATACACATATCGTGAACTTTCCACACATGTGGATATCTAACACTATATTAGAAACTAACATGCACATGAAAAATGTTCTCAAAACATTTTTACAAAAAGGTGTTGATCACTGGCCAAAGTTCCGAGTAGTCGTCCAAGCACAGAATAGTTGAAGACCATCCCTCATCTTGACTTCAACTCTAGCTCTGCTCTCCCTAACACTTAATCTACTGCTGTTGTTGATGATTTGCTTACACATGGCATAAGCAGATGAAAAGAATAAAAGAGGTTCAGCTCATAGCTTAGTGAGACAATCATTGCGTAGTCAGCGCATAACAAAGCATACCCCTAACATACATCTACCAAACAAGCCAAAGCAATAGGATCAGGCCTCAGCTATCCGACATCCCAATAAGCAAAAGACTCAATCACCTTGACTTATGCATATGCGTCTTATCATGTTTTACTTATAGGCGCCTGGCTACAATGGCGGACTCAAGATTGTTAAATAGGGGTGTCGCCTAATGAATGAGTATTGGCTATAATCATTAAAGCGGTGTCAAAAATCTGTTGACACCTAAAATAAATTTGGCCTAAATTAAATGCCGCATTAATTAGCATGGGCATTTAATTCGATACCGCGGATAAAAAATGGTCTCTTTTGGAGTTGAGCGGCATCGCGGAGAGATAAAACGATATCGCGAAATAAAAAACGGTACCGCAAGGAAGCTCAACGGTACCGCGACACTGGAAATGACACTATTTACCGGAAAACAAGATGTGGGCCCCGCGTTTAGTATTGGTGTTGGAAAAGGATTTGTTTTATTTTTATTCCTTGTCGGAAGGGGTGAAGCGATACCGCGTGGAGACAAACGGCATCCCGGAGAATTAAAACGGTACCGCGGATTTAAAAACAATACTGCGAGAGGCCTTGATAAGCGGTGCCGATTAATTAAAACCATATCGGGTAAGTGATTGGCCCAAAATCCGCCCACCAAACGTGCAAAAGCTTGGCAGTTTAATACGTTGGTATATTTTCTTTAGGTTAATACCTTAGTTTGGCCCGAACTATACACATACTTTCTACTTTGGGCCATGGTATTGGAAATTGCTATTCTAGCCTGAACTATGTAGCAAACTTCCTCATTTGGCCTGGAGGCGGGTTTGACCGTTAAATTAGACGATCAAACTTGTTGACCGTTAGTCAATGTCCATCTCACCTGCCACGTCAGCTTTGAGGACATAATTATTTTTTTTCTGAATTTTGTTTTCTTGTCATTTGCTAAAAATGGGCCCTTTTCGTTCTTTAATTAATTTTTTTGATTTATTATTTTTCTTAATCGAAATAAAATAAAATTAAGAAATAAAAAAAAATTATGTCCTCAAAGCTGACATGGCAAGTGAGGTGGACATTGACTAACGGTCAACAGGTTTGACCGTCTAATTTGACAGTCAAACCCACCTCCGGGCCAAATGAGGAAGTTTGCTACATAGTTCAGGCCAGAATAACAATTTTCAATAGCACGGGCCAAAGTAGAAAGTATGTGAATAGTTCAGGCCTAACTAAGGTATTAACCCATTTTCTTTTTATTATTATGTTAGG